GTAAAATTGTAATCATAAGTAATGGTGTCAGTGTAAAAATTGTAATCATGAGTAATAGGTGTCATCATATACTTTTATCATAATTACATTGACCATGTTAATAATAAATTATTATTTCTAGGAACAACAACGGGAAAATCATGGTTTTTAATTAATTAGAGGTCATAACTATGAAAGTTATGAATGAAGCAAAAATCGTAACGATAGAAATTAGTTGAATAATAACTGTTATAAAAATATTGCAATCCACTGGACTGTAAATTTAGGACATAAAACTACAAAAAAATTAAACGAAATAATAATTTGAGAATTTTCTGGGGCAAATGAATTCAAATAGCATAAACCGTTGTGGAAAATTTTCATGTAAGTTTAAAATGAATTTTGTTGAAAAATTTAAGTCATCAAACAAATTCATTAGCCGACTAATAAATGGAAACATTCATTTTTTTTGTTCCAATAAAATACATTATTATTTGGATCTAATTTTTGCAGAATGATTTCGAAGAAGTTCAAATTTCAAATTTCAAATTCGAAGATTGAAATAATTTTCTAACATAATATTTGATAATTATGAGAGCAATTGCTAATATGTTGAATTAAGTTTTTTTCCCTCATTAATTTCATGCTTACTCAATCATAAGATTTAATATTCCATTTTAATGAATTATTACTATCAACTCACTTATTAACTTTATTTTAACAAATTATTATTACAAACTTACTTATTAACTTCATTTTATGAATTATTACTATAAACTTACTTATTAACTTTATTTCGATATTTTACAGCTCGTGGTGTCCCGTGATGTGCATCAACAGAGCTTGCACGATTGCCCAAATCTACCCGTGTCACCATATTTGATAACGGATCCGGTACCTGTTGTACCTCATGATTTGATCTTGTTGATGAAGCACTCGCTGGTCGAGAAAGTGATTCATTCACCTAAAATATAAATTCATATGAATAAAAAATAAGTTAGCCAATTTGATACCAAAAAAATATTCATTTCTTTGAGTGATCCAAAAGGAAAAATACACCTTAAAAGAAATGAGTGTAATGAAAATCTCATTTTCAAATTTTTTTCTGAAGGCATTTTTTTCCCTGCGTGCAAAAATAAACAAATTGTTATAAAAATTATATGCAAATGAGTAAAATATTTTCTAACAAAAAAAAAAGTTATAAAATTTAAAAGGAAAAAACGAGATTCAAATGTATTTTGTTGATGTTTCAATCGATGAAAATATTCACATTCTATTTTTTCAATTTTTCAATTTAAATAACCTTTCTCATATTAATTCAATATTTGATACAATATCTATTTCCTGTATTTAAATCAGGAAATAATAATATTAAAGTAATAATATTAACTATTATCGTTTCTATTATTTTCAAGGCAAAATTTTATAACTATCATTTTGAAATGTATTTTTTGATCATAATAAAGGCAAATGTTTAATGATAGAAAATGTTTTATTGCATATGTTAAATTCGTTCTAAGTAAATTGGAATTTTATAATTTAAATTATTTTTCTGATCAGCACTCAAAAGAAAAAAATCGGTTTTGAAAAAAAAGTGATTGAGATAATAATTTATCAAGGAGAACATTAAATTAGTTAGATAGTTAGAAATAAGATTGTTATTTATTAAAGCTTGGATTTAAAATTTTTATTTTTTTTTTAGTATTTAACGGATTGCTGACAAAAAAATTTATGATTGGATCTTTTCTTTTTCTTCAAAATTACAATAATTAATTTTTAGGGAAAAATTTTGAAAGAATTATCTAAATTGCATCATTTGAAATTTTAGAAACAATTGACAAAACTCTGGGCAAGTTTAAAATTTATAGAAAGAAAATAAGTTGAAAAATGGAAAAATTCGAAATACATATATGAATAATCGATAATGATCAATTGAATGTATGAGAGGATAGGAATAATTCCAATGATAATTTATCGGGTAAAATGTCCACAGCAAAAATATCCAAAAGAACATGCAAAATTTAAAATTTGTCTAAAATTAGAGAAAAAAAGACAAAAGAGAGTTGAGAGAGAGGGAAAAGAAAATGGGAAAGGGCAAGGGTTAGAAAGATTGGATTTTCAGCGCAAAATATCGAAGATATTTCATACTGATATTTTTAACTGGTAAATCTTTTTGAGACAAAAATTAAATGCTAAATAAACGAAAGATAAAAGGAATGAAGAAATTAATTATGGGTATGTTCTTTTAAAAATTGACAATATATTTTTAAAAACGAAATTTAAATGAACGTTTAAGCATTACTTATAAGTTGTTAATATTCCCTGAAGTAGTAATAATCAAACCTGAATAATTGTTGGTCCACAAGTTTCCATCATTTCTTCTGCATCATCAACAATTTCATTCGATATCCGTTGCCGTTCATCATCAATCATACGATAAATACTACGTTTAGCGTATTTTTGGAGTAAACTTTGCCACCTTAAAAAAAATTAGCTTTTGGAAAAA